CACCCCCCCCCGTGCCCTGCCCCACCCAGCCCCCTTCCCGGAAACGCCCCTTCCCTAGTGCTCCTGCGAGGAGGCTGAGGGGAAGGGTGGAGATGTCCCCTGAACCGCGCATTGAACCCCCGCTTAGTAGGTGTGTTTGCATTCTGAGCTACATCCTCAGCCCTCTTTTATTTTTTATTTTGAGACACCGTCTCATTCCGTTGCTAAGTTGCCCAGGATAGACTAGAACTTTCCACCCTCCTGCCGCAGCCTCCCAGCGTGCTGGATACCCGGTTCCCACACACCTCTTGGAAATTCTTTCAGCTCAGGCTCCTTCACAGAGCCATCTTTGGAGGGGGAACTGGCTGAGTCCTGACTGAAACCAGTCACTCACTTACTCAACAAACACCCTTAAATCCCTCTTCTGCACAGTTCTCCCAGATGCCGGGTCCACTGCTCTGACCCACTTGGAGACGCATCAGCTCACACTGGCCCTGGCACTGGCACTGCCCCAGGACTCCTCACAGAGGAAAGGATCAGTCCCCTAACTCTGCACTCAGGGACCTGCCACAGCCCTGAGGATTTCCTCGGTTTTCTGCTGAAAAGACCTGCAGGGACAGAAGCAGTGGAGGCTGAGGTAGGAAGGCCTGAGGGCAGGGGTTGGGTTGCTAGCGCCAGCCCTCCTTGGGAATGACTGCTGGAAAAGGGGTTACACGTGTGCCTCAGGCCAGGGCCCCTGCGGGTGGTGCTGCAGCTCCCCCCTTCCAGACAAGAAGAGACAGACCTTCTGCCAGCAGCGACTTCTCTCTCCAGGGCGTCCCCAAGCCCCCTCTGCTCCCACCACAGACCCTCCACCTCTCTGCACGTCCTGTGGGCCAAGTACCCACCAGAGCCAGAGGCAGTTCAGCACTCAGTGGGGCCAGCACTGATCCTCACCCTAGAGACCCGCCTGCCTTGGCTTGCAGCCCTCAGAGGCTCTAGCTTCCCCTAGGCAGGATACCTGCTCCTTGCAGGGCTGCAGAACCTAGGTGCAGGGCTGCTGGGTGTGGGAGGCCCACTCTGCACAGGGAAGTCGGGGTTGGGGGCTGGTAAGGGGAGGCCCCGGGAGCACCAGGCCACCTGAGGAGGAGGAAGTCCTTCCCACCTTTCTTCCTTCCCTTCCTCCCCGGGGGCAGAGTGCAAGAGAAACCAGAATGGAGTCCTGGCTGCAGCGGGTGTGCACAGTTCCCCTGGGGCCCAGGACTCCAGCCCCTTCTGCCTGCTGCACCCTCTCGGGCTTGGAGCTCAGCCTTCCTAGTCTCATTTCAGGGTGAATGATTCCTGAGTGGGCTCTGCATGTCCAGTTGGCAGGGCAGCTAAGGAGCTTGCACCATGCCAAGTTTCCCAGCCGGCCTGGCCCCCGGGAGGCCCTGCTGGTGCTGGGACAGTGGGCCCTTGAGAAGGGCCATGGGAGCTGCAGCGTTCCCACCAAAGACAAAGAGCCCAGTGTGGGCTCCGGCCTCGGCCTCCAGGCTCTGACCAGCTGCAGCTGCCTCCTTGGTAAGGGGTGGGGGTGGGGGTGGGGTGCTGGTGGGGTCAGTTCCCCAGGCTAGAGATGTAGTGGGACACTCCCTGGCTGACTTCTGGTCCCTCACACAGCAGCAGAATGCAAACACACCTACTCAACCTGCAGGATCATCACCCCCAGCTCTTCAGGATGGCATCTGGAGGAACTGAGTGGTGCAGCCTTTGACATGTGTCATTGGCTTTCCTGAAATGCAGCCTCGGACAAAACCAGGCTGTCCCAAATGCATGGTAATAGAGATGCTTGCTTTTATTACAAGGGAGTGGGGCAGGCACCCAAGTCTGCACATGGTGTGTGCCCAGGCCAACTCCAAGGGGTTTGGGCTGTGAGACCTAAAGATCTTAGGAGACTATCTAAAACAGAGAGAGAGAGTTGGGCAAAGCCCAGCGCTGTTGCACTCATGTTAAATGTGTCCACAAATGGATGGAGCATGCTTTCCCTGAAAGTGTCAAAGAAAAAGAAAAGAGTCAGAGAGCTAAGTGTTTTTTTTTTAATGAAGCTTTTTTGTTTTTTGAGTCACAAAAGACCAAAAGTGAGAAGGAGGTGGTGGCAGAAAATTATTTACACCCTGCTCTACAGCATGCACGTCTGAAAGTGAATGGCCAAGGACAAGGGACAGGGAGGTACCTGCCTCTATCCTCACCCCTACGGCCTCTCCCAGGGTTCCCATCCCTGTGCTCTCACTTGTCAGTTGTGGTCCTTAACCTTTTTGTGCCTCAGTTTCTTCACCTGCAAAGTAGGGTTGGTGACGCAAATGTCAGCACCTACTTCGAAGGGTTTTGCCAAGGGTTAAACAAATTGTGGGGGATTTTTGTTGTTTTTTGGTTTTTTTGTACCACGGATTGAACTCGGGTCCTTGCTCTTACAAGGCAGGCAGTGGAACCACTAAGCTAAATCCCCAGGCCCCCAACAAATTGGGAATTATAAAACATTGAGAACAGTACCTGACACTTAGCTTGTTTTTTAAATAAAACCTTTGCTGCAGCATCATTTACATTAGGCTTAACTCTACGAAACTGCCATTTCTTTCAGGCTAGCAAAGATTTACTAATAAGAATTCCAAAACACATTAAATGGCCAAGCAGGGGGAAGTTGATTAATAAGTTATATTCCATTTACACCATGCAGAGCCATGAAGCTGTTAGAAAGAATGGGGCAGATCCATATGTGAGCATGCGGGACAAGCCGCAAGACA